TATATATATATATATATATATATATATATATATATATATTTCTCCCCTAATAATAATCTGATTTGAAGGAAGTGTAGATGATGAATTAGATGTTTGCACCCTGTGGTGAGTTTTAATTATTTTATTTTATTTTTAAAAAAATAAAAAATTGCACGATATTCTTAGTAATATTAATACATTTTAGTGTAAAATTTGTGTACAAAAAAAAAACAAGTCTGAGGAGGACTGTAATACGTGTGTCATTTTCTTTTTCAGAGCTCCTGTTGTATAAAGAATTTATATATATATGTGTGTGTGTGTGTGTGTTTTATTTAGGAAATACTTTTTCATCACAGCTGATAAATATCAAAAAGGAAACAGTCATGTTGGGCAGTGCCAAAGTCTGGAACACTCCTGCTCCAAAATAGCACCTGCTTGATTTAGACCAGCACAAAAACACACTGAGATCAATTGTATTAAAATAATAAATAGCACCAAACTTATGTTTTATGCTTATTAAAAGAACATTTCAGATGGAAACTAATTGAAATCTTGACTTGGCATTGTTATTCTTATGTTTGTTTTGTTCTTCATCCTCTCTTTTTGATAACAAAAACTGGTATTTGAGTTTCATGTTTGTCAGTCCTGTGTTTGAACTGCAATGCTTTTAATCACACAATAATATCAACAATGATCTGATATAGACAGAATAATACTACACACGCCTCTTTGGATTTTCCATAACGTAATTCCACAAATGAAGTTGGCTGGTTAAAGGAATACTTCACCCAAAAATGAAAATTTGCTGAAAATGTACTCACCCTCAGGCCATCCTGGATGTTTGTAAGAAAGCTGGAAGCAATGGTTTGAAGTTAAAAACATCAAAAGATGGACTTGTTTCTTACAAACATGCAGCTTTTCACTTCACAAGACATTATAAGTCGACAAGAGTTAAGTGGTTTACTTGTGGATTATTATGATGTTTTTATCAGCTGTTTGAATTCACATTCTGACGGCACCCATTCACTGCTCAAACTATGTTCCCAAACTGTTACCCCATAGAATATTGAACAGCTGCATTAATTCAACTTATAAAACAAGTGTCTTTTTAGTTCTGCCATCCATATGTTTTATACTGTATATTAAAAACGTATCACGTAAAATGCTGCTTGTCTAATGAGAGATTTTGTTATAGTTCCCATGCAGCCTGACTCAAATAAGGAACCGAGGATATTATGGGAAAATGTTTTCAGGGCAAAACATTTTAATCTGAAACCATTTACATTGCTGTCCAATTTGTGATAGGAAACACATTACAATAACTTTTTTACATTTTCATCCACAACTGAAAAAAAAATAATAATATATATATATATATATCAATGATTTTTACAATCAAATTTGGATTGAGGCCCATGATGCATAGAGCATACAGTGAGAGAGAAATAATAGAACTTGAAGACAGTTTATTCATGTACATCCTTAGGCCAGACATGAATTTGTTTCCTAAAATCCTGTTAACACTTCAGACAGTGAGGCAAAAAAGAAGCTGATCATTTTCAGATGGAGCTCATCATGCATCATTCTAGATGAGATTGGCATATGTTTGCGTGTGAGGGAGAAATAGAGACGAGATTGAAAGAGAGAGAAATAATAACAGAATATTTTCCATCTGTGCATCCTGTTTAGTCCCTTTGAATCAGTTAAATAAGTGGAAGCACAAGACGTCTCAAGTGTGACTGATGTCCTCGTATGGCTCAGTAAGGCTAAAGCTGATTTATATACCAGTCAGACTAATGAACACTAAAAGCAACGTTCTGCTTCACATTGATCACTAGATATTTCCGCTTTAAGTTGCAGACCGAACCGTTATGCATCATACTGTAACTGAACCGATCCAGAGACTAATACAGCCAGCTCTTTGGAGCAGCTGGAATGAAAACCTGCTTTTAATTTACTGTGAACAACCCTATTTTGACATCATTTATATTTTACATAATGTTTGTAAAAAAAAAAAAAATTGCATAAATTAAAAAAAAAGCATTTTTATTGTAGGTTTGAAAAATCAGCAACAATTTGGAATTTAGACTTAAAAAAAAAAAAGTTATATCAAAAGAATAAATTAAAATTAAATAAAAAAAATTACACTAAACAGCAGGGCTACCAGCTTTGGTCTTCAAACTGTAGATTCCTTTATACCAACAACTGCATAACATCTAGGGGACTGGAGGGGGTCAAAGAGTTGAACCAGCGCAGTATGAGACACATTGTCCTGAAAGAAAAGAGATATTTTAAATGTAGAATCAAATGTAAAAGTCTGAAATCCACATCCAATGATTTAGATTTCACTATTTATTTATGCATTTATTTATTCAATATTTAAGGCATAAATCTGCATGGCATGTGAGATGTTTCTCAATATAAAATCAAGGAGCATGACTTTGCAATCCTTTGTTCGAGAATCAGGCTACACTGGTCTCTCTATGATTCACTAAAAAGATCCGACTCATAAGAATCAATTGATCAGGAATGGACTACACTGTTCGTGCTGTATGTTTTTGATTCAATAAAAAGGACCAACTCATAAAAGTTTGTCAGGAATTGGTACACTGGTCAAGCTGTATATTTCTGATTCACTAACAAGAACATGTTCAAAAGAATCATTTGTTCAGGAATCAGAATACACTGGTTGTGCTTTAGGTTTCAGACTCATAAGAGTAATTCATTCGAGAATCAGACTACCTGGTGACTTCGTATGATTTTGATTCACTAAAAACAAGCAGATCATAAGATCAGTTAGTTCAGGAATCATGTTACACTTGTTCTCAACCCAGGTTGTGCTTATATATCCAGGATATATTATTTTAGATGAACCGTCAGTTAAATCAAGTTCCCAGCATATCCATAAGTAAAAAGAGCATTGGACCTGATCAAAATAATCAGCTTAACTGAGCACAGCTTGTTTCAATCCAAAATCCATATTACAGCTTTCCATAATCACTGACCAAAGCACATTAATATACTTGGCAGCACACCCAGAGTACCATGTTATGAAATGGTTTATACATAACAAAACCCTCCACAGGCCAAATTGTAAAGCAGACTCTGATTTCAATGTGGTTAGCAGAGTCCACAGAGTCATCAATGAGAAGCCTGATTAATATTAATGGTGTGTTAAATAAGTGGAAGCACAAGACGTCTCAAGTGTGACTGATGTCCTCGTATGGCTCAGTAAGGCTAAAGCTGATTTATATACCAGTCAGACTAATGAACACTAAAAGCAACGTTCTGCTTCACATTGATCACTAGATATTTCCGCTTTAAGTTGCAGACCGAACCGTTATGCATCATACTGTAACTGAACCGATCCAGAGACTAATACAGCCAGCTCTTTGGAGCAGCTGGAATGAAAACCTGCTTTTAATTTACTGTGAACAACCCTATTTTGACATCATTTATATTTTACATAATGTTTGTAAAAAAAAAAAAAATTGCATAAATTAAAAAAAAAGCATTTTTATTGTAGGTTTGAAAAATCAGCAACAATTTGGAATTTAGACTTAAAAAAAAAAAAGTTATATCAAAAGAATAAATTAAAATTAAATAAAAAAAATTACACTAAACAGCAGGGCTACCAGCTTTGGTCTTCAAACTGTAGATTCCTTTATACCAACAACTGCATAACATCTAGGGGACTGGAGGGGGTCAAAGAGTTGAACCAGCGCAGTATGAGACACATTGTCCTGAAAGAAAAGAGATATTTTAAATGTAGAATCAAATGTAAAAGTCTGAAATCCACATCCAATGATTTAGATTTCACTATTTATTTATGCATTTATTTATTCAATATTTAAGGCATAAATCTGCATGGCATGTGAGATGTTTCTCAATATAAAATCAAGGAGCATGACTTTGCAATCCTTTGTTCGAGAATCAGGCTACACTGGTCTCTCTATGATTCACTAAAAAGATCCGACTCATAAGAATCAATTGATCAGGAATGGACTACACTGTTCGTGCTGTATGTTTTTGATTCAATAAAAAGGACCAACTCATAAAAGTTTGTCAGGAATTGGTACACTGGTCAAGCTGTATATTTCTGATTCACTAACAAGAACATGTTCAAAAGAATCATTTGTTCAGGAATCAGAATACACTGGTTGTGCTTTAGGTTTCAGACTCATAAGAGTAATTCATTCGAGAATCAGACTACCTGGTGACTTCGTATGATTTTGATTCACTAAAAACAAGCAGATCATAAGATCAGTTAGTTCAGGAATCATGTTACACTTGTTCTCAACCCTGGTTGTGCTTATATATCCACTCAGGATATATTATTTTAGATGAACCGTCAGTTAAATCAAGTTCCCAGCATATCCATAAGTAAAAAGAGCATTGGACCTGATCAAAATAATCAGCTTAACTGAGCACAGCTTGTTTCAATCCAAAATCCATATTACAGCTTTCCATAATCACTGACCAAAGCACATTAATATACTTGGCAGCACACCCAGAGTACCATGTTATGAAATGGTTTATACATAACAAAACCCTCCACAGGCCAAATTGTAAAGCAGACTCTGATTTCAATGTGGTTAGCAGAGTCCACAGAGTCATCAATGAGAAACCTTATCATGCTGCCAAGCCCTTTAATGTCTGACATACACAAATCATAGACGCTCTATAGAAAAAAATGCACAGATCTGATATTGGGGAGGTTTTACTTGCTTTACATTACACGACTGATAAGTGACCCCTGTAAGATCACGTGGAAATTGATCCCACAGAAACTTGCTGTCACTGTTTCGTGAGTATAAACAAAATGATTCTGTCATGCCCTAGATTTTCAGTCTAACGTTCTTCACAGATGTCTGAGTCTGACACTCCTGACTGTCGTCGCGAGGAGGTTTGAGGTTTTATGTTCAAAGCCTGGTGGGCAAGAAGGAAATGGACGTGTAACTTAAAACCTCTGAACTCCTGTAAGTTAGAAATCTTTAAAAAAAAAAAAAAAATTACTATTTTGGATCTGCTTTATGTGGCTAAAATCTGTTGGTATAAATGCTGGCAACCTGTGTTGTGGTCCTGAAGTAAAGCCAGAAACAAAAAGCCCCTCACACTTCTCTATGAGGATATGAGGATTAAACATCTTAACATGCACAAATGTAAGGGATAAACATACTGCAGTGCAGAGGGTTAACAAGTACTGACAAGTACTGTTATCTATCCTACAAATGGTTTGTTACCTGCTCTTTCAAGTAGCAAAGTCGGTCAAGGAGGATGAGACCCTCTATACACGGAGCCAAAGTGACTTTCAACTGAGGAAGATGAAAAGCAGCATGAGACAGATATGGAGTTCATAATGAAAATAAAGGACGTACAAGTTTCTCTGTCATACTCACCATGTTAAAAGCCACCATCTCATTCATTCTGGGACTGTAGAGTTCATGATAACTCTGAATGTCACCGTCAGACAGCTGAAGACAACAAGAGAAGAAGAAAAAATTGAAAGCAATTTTAAAGAAATAAAGGAATAAGATGATTCCCTAAATATATGCGTGCAAAACATTTTTACTATTTTTTTTAAATAGTTTTAGAAATAATATTTTATTTGCAAGTAAATATATGTACATAACTATAACATATATGTACTTTAGACTAGTAAAAATGTAGTTTAAACTCACACACATATATTGCAAAATACAAATAAATGTAAAATATGACAAATATTTTATATGTAATATTAAATATTTTTATATTTTACAGGATTAACAGAATTAACATTGTCTTTTTTATTAGAGTGCAAAGTAAAAAATAAAGTTTTATATAAAAAAAATACAAATTTATATGAAAATAATATATATTTATATAAATCTATTTATATAATCTCTACTCTTGACTAGTAAAAAATGTTATGTATATTATGGCAAAATTTTACCAAATCAGCATATTATGTGACTCATAAGACTTCATATATTTCATCTTCACCATCACAGAAATAAATTACATTTTAAAATATATTAAATCATATATTTATATAAAATATAATACAGTATACATTATTTTACTGTTTAACAGAATTCTGCAGATTTTCCCTCAAAATCAGGGTACAAAAAAGTCCAATGACACAATGTGGGCCTGGTGAAGCCTTTTTAACGGTCTCTTGCTATCTGTTCCCATATTTCCCTACGTGTCAAACATATTTTAGTCTGTTTATCTCATTAGCTTTATTGTGTAATTCAGATACATGTGGGCAGACTGAAAAAACATTAAATGTAACGTGAGAACATTTGGTTATTACTGTGGTGTCATCCAGATCCAGCTTCCTAAGTGCTCGTCTGACATAGTCCACAAACGACGAGGCTTTGGAGAACACATTCCCAACACGTTTCTCACTGCCAATAGAAAATTAAATACCCATCAGATAATTCAAAAATGATTTTTTTAAACAGATTTTTTTATGTAGTTTAAAAACTAAATGTACAGACAGTAAGTCACATGTAGGGGGTGAACTTTGCACTCCTTGTTGACTTGCACATTACCGTAACCTGATGGTTTGGCTTTGACTCACAGAAGCTTATTAAACCTGAAAACAGGGCTTTAGGGTTTGAGTCACGAGCATCAGTCAGCACTGAATCAGATCTGCTCTCTGCAGCCACGATCAAGTATCTCAATAAACATTTCTCATCCTCCGCAAAAAGGAAGGAAGGACCAGAGGGAATCTGGAGCCTCTTTATTCTCTCCTCTAGTTTACTAAAGCTCTCCGGTGACTAAAACAAAGACAGGCGGTTGTTTTCTGTCTAATGAGCTGATGATGTGGTGAGAGATATCTGATCCTGGTCTTTTGGAGGGGAACGGCGTCAGTGTGGGAGCTCAATATTGGTCATCGTGTGTGTTTCCGACTGAGTCGCTCATCAGGGGATCCGGGGAGTGCGTTTCTGTTTTTACAGACTGAACTATAATTTACTGCCAAACCTTCAATAGTTGGTAATATGGTTCTTTAAATCATGAAGATTTGCTTTGGCAACAATTAGTTTAGTGTCGACATTTATCTGAAAGCCATAAAACAACCTGAGCTACTGAACTATTAATATAGATAGATTGTATGACACAGTAAAAAAAAAATTCAGCCTGACACAAAATCTATAATGCACTTTATATGATGGTGCATATGATGGACAGAACAAGAGATATAGACTTAATGATTTTAAATAAAAAATAAATTTTAAATTAATAAAACAATTACATTTTAGATACTTAGATAAATATATCTAAGTAAATATATCTAAATATATCTTTAGATAAAAATATAATACACATAATTAATGTATTTATGTATATTTATATAATCTGTAGTCTATATAATATGTAGTCTAATAAAAGTGTAGTGTGTGTGTGTATATATATATATATATATATTGAAAATGATGTTATCTGAATTTTAATTTACTATATATATGATATAGTATATAGTAGTCAACATTTGAAGTGGATCAAAAAAGTTCATCTAAGTTGTCCTAAGACAACAGCGCATTTTGGTTTTAGGACAACTTTGATGAAAGGTTTTGATAGACTTCAAATGTTGACTACTATATATACAGTATATAGGCCTATATATAAGTATATATATATATATATATATATATATATAAGGCTATATGTTTTAGTATAAATACCTTTTAAAGGAATCATAGTGATTCCGTAAAATAACATGAAGAACCGCCCGATAAAAAAGTGACTCCATAGGCAGCTGTAACAGACAAAAAAAACCTTTTAACCACAATCCAAGTCATTTTCTTTAATTTCAAAGCTGATTTTGCTTACTTACACAATGCATGCTTACTTGGTTATATTTGCTTACTTATTTATATTTTTTATTACTTCATTTGAAATGTTTGTCTTCTTTCAAAACAGATTATCTCATATTTTCCATTACAATTATGTCATCCAAACAATCAGACATGCAGAAGACAGAAAGATTGTTCATGCTGACTGCTTCACCTCTGAACTATCAATCATATTTAAAAGAAGAAAAATCATATTAAAATACACAGTGCGTCTAATTAAATCAGACAAATATGCATAGGCGCATATGCTGTACATTCTGGCATTCAAGCTTGACCAGCACATTACAATCAGCTGTGCAGACAGCCTTGATCGCACGAGACTGTCCTCTTTTTATGCAAATTCTGCAGGAGAAATGGGTTTTTAATTGAATTATTACACAATCAATACTCACCCCTCCTCCAGCAGACACTCTCTCCAGAGCCTGAGAGGGGAATAAAAAGAGTTTGTGA